AGAGGACACGAATGGGTGGCCATGGCCTTACCCACCAGGTGCAGGCCCGGTCAGGTACGTTCTGACGCGGATAGGTGGGTACAGGCGGGTAGAGCTATGAGGGCCGGTTGAGGGGCAGACGGGTGAGGGTTTGGGCCAAATCACCCGTATTTTTCTCTTTCCCGGGGGTGTTGGTCAACTTTGCCCTGATTGTTTGCAAATACGGGCAGGTCTGGGTGAGGGTTTTTTCAGGGTGCCGGGTGGGCCGGGCACGGGTACAGAAATTGGAAATGAGATGGGAAAGTAAGGCCTTAATTGCCTGTGCCTTGTGCGTCTCTCACAATGCTAACATGTGCTTGGTTTTGTTTCTGCAGTTATTGTAATGACTGTCGTGATCTGGACCTCTGTCGCGACACTGCTTTGCTTGCCCGCGAGTGGCGTTGCGCTGTTCCACAGTGTGGGCAGCCCTATGATCGAGACTGGATTGAGAATGCACTTCTTCAGGTTGTGCGACAGCGAGCAAGGTTGTACCAGCTCCAGGATCTGAAGTGTCAAAGATGCCGTCAGGTTTGTCCATAAATGAATGCCCTCCCTTGCTCTCTCCCACCCACTCCGTTCCTCCTCCCTCTCTAGTGCTCTCCCTCCTTCCTCCTTCCTCCTGCCCCCTCCCCACTCCCTCCTCCTCTGCTGCTCTCCCTCCTTCCTTCCCCCTCCGTCCCTCTCCGTCCCTCTCTTTCTCCCTCTTTCCAGGGTTATTGCCTCCTCGGTCTAGACCCAGCGGGGTTCCAGGGGTTCTGAGATGGACCACCAAACCATGGAGGAGCATGGAGGGAGGTGTGCTCTATCAGGATGCACTTTGCTACCTAATTTGGCTTTTCCATGGCATAAACCCCACCCCAACCCCGCCCAGGGCAGGGACAGGGGGAGGGGCATGTGTGGGTGAGGACAGAGACGGTAGGGCGAGGGTTGAAGCACTGCTGGGGTGGTGCAGGAGTAGGGATGGGAGTGGGGACGGCCTGGGTCAAGAGAGGCGGAGGACAGCAGCAATTGCCCAAGGACTGCGATGGAGGTGGGTGTGGGGGTGGGATCCTGAGGGATCCCGGGGGTGGCCAGGCTTCAGTCTATTCTCCCACCCTGCTCACCGCTCTCCTAGTTCTTGTACATACATGTCTGGCCACAGTTCAACTGACATCCCACCTCCATCCTCCTGGCCCTGGGCCAGGGGTTCCCCCCAACCATGGGAGCCCCGGGGTTCGCAGGTGAACATCCCTCTGCCAAGATTATGCCAGGGCTCCCTAGCTGGCAATCCCCCTCCCCCTCGCCGCCTCTCTCTCTCTCTCTCTCTCTCTCTCTCTCTCTCTCTCTCTCTCTCTCTCTCTCTC